TGCTAATTAATCTTACTTGTCAAGGGACCCAATAGATATCTTTCTCTCGATGTACAAGAGTGACAAAAACTATCTTGATAATTCACATACTACTACATGGTTCATAATATGTACAATCACCACCTTTATAATTACCCAGTTAAAGATAACATTTAATGGTGTTAATACATATTAATTGTCATGCTAGTAACCATGATTATCTCAAGTATAAGAATGTAGCACCTCATCGTTATTGAGGACAACACTGATGACATATAACCTAGCAGTGTCCTCAAGTTGGGTCTGTCCAATGAACTTGTTCCCTAACAAGCATCTATGTTATTAACTTGATATCTCTATACCCATGACTAGTGGAATATAGCCATCAGTTAATCCACACACTGGTCTATTAATTATTAATGTCCCAAATTAATAATATTAGACCAGGGACAATTAGAATATTATGTTTATTTTAAAGTGTAGCATTCCACAATTAAGTCACATATTTAATTAGCTACTAAACAGAATATTCAGGGACTAAATATTAATAAAGAAAACTCACAATAATAATTAACATAAAATGAGTTTGCAACTTTATTAATTAATGAGCATTAAATATTTATTGATAAATCATAAACTATGATTGTCCTAGGGCATATTTCCAACAGTCTCCCACTTGCTTTATGAAATCCGAGTTTGCTATGATTAAATTTTCTCATGTAACTAGGAATGGAAATGCAGTGGCACATAGTATGGCTAGAGTGGTTCCCAATTATGGGTCTGAACAGATTTTTGTAACTGATCTGTCGGAAGAAATTTTATCTCTGGCTGAACTTGACTTAATATAATATATTGGAAAGGTTTCTTAAAAAAAAAGGGTGAAAGACCCACAACCCAATGCTTTTGAATGAACAACAACTTGGTCTTGCCATCTTTTCTCAAGCTAGATTATCTCTATAGACAGAAATGAAATAAGTATTTTATCAAATTATAAAAATCAAACCTAGAAACGTGATTCATGAAGATGGAATTTTTTCCCCAATATACAGGAAACCCAAAAGAGTCAAAGAGGCAAAGCACAAATCGCACTTATTTTTTTATGACGGAAGAAACTGATATGAGCATTGTCTACAACCGAGTTATGAGCCTATGTAGTGTGTAATAGCACTAGAGTAAGCAGCGTGTACTAATTATTAGTGAACTCAACATACTTCTCTGTGTGGATTACCTCTTCCGGCAACGAATTGGAAGGTGTCCGGCAGGTCGGTAGAATAGGGAGCTTCGGCCGGCGTTCCTCCTTGCCTCTCTATGGTCGATAGAAGATGAAGCTAATACTCCCTCCGTCCCGTTGGAATGTTCCCGGTTTGACCTACACACATATTAAGGAAATAAACTTACCAGGGGGTAAATTTTACTGTTTGGACACTGTTTGACACTGTTTTGCACTGTTTGACACTGTTTTGATGTAGGATAACTTTCCATTTAGGGAAATGAGAACTTTCCATTGGGACATCCAAAAAAGGAAAGTGGGAACATTCTAACGGGACGGAGGGAGTATTAGAAAGGGCGGATATAGGGATGGACTCGGGCCGGGCGGCCCGACCTGGAACCGGCCCGGCCCGGTCACTGTTTGAACTGGCCCGGCCCGGCGGCCCGGCACATGGGCGGTTCGAGTCGACCCGGCCCGGTGGCTACCGGTTCCGGGCCCGGGCCTTCATTTTGGTGAACCGGCCCGGCCGGTTCGGGCCCGGTCCGGGCCGGATTTATTTTATTTTTTTTGAATTTTTTTAAATTTTTGGGTTGGATTGGTTATTTTGGGTCATTTGAGGTGGTTTGGGGTTGAGGGGTAGGGTAGGGGGTTGATTAGGAAAACCCAAAAAAAAAAAAAATATAGAACCGGAACCGGGCCCGGCCCGGCCCGAACCGGACCCGGGGTTACCCGGGCCGGTTCCGGGCCTCCCCTACCTTGAACCGAGGCTCGGCCGGTTCAAGGCCCGAACCGGGCCCGGCCCGGAACCGGTCCACCACTAGGCGGATAGAGAAGCTTGATAAGTCATTGAAAAATAGTGGGTTGAAAATTAATGGGATAGCTAACGTTCCGGAAGCTGAAGAGAATTGTGAAGAAAGAAGGGTGATGGTATGTCAGACGTGGAATTTATTTTAAATGCTCTGTCGTTATTTTTTAGCCACCATGTTGCCACATCATACACCGTTAACTTCAGTATAACAATGTTAAATATATAGGTCCTGAATTGATACATTGTGATCTTCCAAGTCCCTATCGATAAAAAAATCTTTTGGGTCCGTAATTGATAATATACCAAACTTTTAGGTCCTGAATCGATAATTTTCCTAAAAATAACAACTTTAAACCTATGTTAATATTGGTCTTACTGGGTTAGGGAGTTGTGTGTTCATAGTTATGCTGGACTAAAGTTAAGGGGAAAATAAAAAAGCATGTTACTAAAATGTAAACGGCACTTCTTGGTTTTTTTGTTGACTCCTGCACCTCAAGTCCTTAACCGATTAGAGCATCTCCAATGCTAAAACGTGAACGGTGCATACGTGGCATCAGAGATAGTCAATTAAAAAATAATAAATAAAATACCTCTCTCTATTTAAAAGATCTTGTATCATTTTGATAAGTTTTTCTTCTCAATGTCAAACACAATGTCTAGATGTAGACATTGTGCTTGACATTGCAGAGGAAAACTTACCAAAAATACATAAAAACCGTGGAAAGAATGAGAGATAAATGTCATAAATTCAGTTTTTTGTGTCTATCTCTCTCACGCCACACGTGCACCGTGCACATTGTAGCATTGTAGATGCTCTTAGTGCGGCTCAAGTTCTAACTAAAATTCTACCGAGCGAAAATATCTAGCGATTACTAGAGCTCACCATGAGACTTGAGAAATGACCATCAACTGGAAATCCTTGTGATCTCTCTACCTGAGGCTTTGTTTGCAAGTGCTTGTGTTTAAAAAAGAGCACTTTTTTGGAAAAAGTGATTAGTAGTAAAAGTGTGTAGTGTTTGGTAAAATAAATGTTTTTTGTTTAATAGAAAAAGTAAAAAGTAGATTCTACACGAAAGCCGAGAAAAGTAAAAGTTGGTAGTGTTTAGTAAAATAAGTGTTTTTAAGCCAAAAGTTGGGAAGCAGTGGCGGAACTAGAAAATAATTCAAGGGGGGACACGATCACATAAACGGGAAAACATATCGGAGGGTGGAACGGGCACAAGCACACTAGTCGGTGAGTTGGCTCCGGGAACCCTGACGGGTTGCGATTTGGTGACGCGACGTGGCTCTGCTGCTGCTTGCTTATGCCTTGCTAGGAGTTTGTGGTGATTTGTCGATTAGTGATGCAACATTTCACGCCGTTAAACTTTTATACTCCCCCATCTCTTTTTTATTTAGCCAAATATTACTTTTCAATTCAATAATGTCTAACTTTGACCGATTATATATTTACAAATAAGTGTTGAAGATATGATATAAAAATGTTCTTCGCCAATCATACCATCATAAAAGTATAAAATTACTAAATTTGACAAAAATATATTGATTAAAATAATGAGTCAAAATTTGTCATCTTTAACTGGAAAACTCAAACATTGTTAAATAAAAATGGATGGAGGTCTATAATTTTTTATACAGTTTTTCAATCAAAATTCATGTTCTTTACACATGAATTCGTTTTAAAAGAACTAATTAGGAAATTCGACAGCATGTTTTCTTTCTAGGCGTTTTTCCTGATATTTGGGACCTACTTCCCTAGGCAGCTTTTTTATCCTAGCATTTAATACGACGACGTTTTTAAAAATCAAAATTCATCTCCTACCCAAACCCAATCGACGGGTGCCTCTCTAGACCTCCAACCTTCAAGCCGGAAACAATGGTATTGAACCGTCCGGCGGCCCCCGTGGCACCCCTTGCACATCCACCCCTGTTGGGAAGTGCTTTTTTTGAGTGTTTGCAAACAAAGTCTTAATATCTTGAACTCGATGCCTTTCCACATTTACAGGAATCTTAAATGTGAATGGTGATCCAAAATACCGGCAAGGCATTGTCAGGCATATCATATTTAACATTGGTTTGTGTCATCTTGGAATATGGATAAGGCATGGACCACGCCCGAGTCGGGCCAGCCTCAAGCCAGGATTTGGGCGGGACTGGGGTTTTGGGAAGAACGCCCGGTAAGGGCCTGGGTTGGTGCCGGGCCGGGGCCGAGGCGGGTCTAGGTTTTAAAAAAAATGGTTTTTCCTATTTATTCCTACCACCCACCCCCCCCACCCTCCAACCCCCCCCCCCCCCCCCCTAAACCACCCAGCCTCACCCACCTAGTAGCCAATCAATGCTAAAACAAATTAGGCCCAGACAGGTCCCGAACAGGTCGGTCCACCAAATAAGCATCCTGTAGCCCGTCCCTAAAACTGCCGGTTCAGGCCTCCAGTCCCAGTCCCAATCGGCCGGGACGGGCCAGTACCGGACACCAACGGGCCAAGCCAGATACCGGGTTGGGCCAAACCGGCCCAATCCATCCGTAATATGGATAATGGTTCGCGGGTTACTCTTGGGTTTGGTTCTGTTCTACGTTATTTCATTTGCTTTAGGACTCTTTCTTTGTCAGCAGACACGCATGCTTTGTGCCTTGCGGCTGTGGCCCAGCCTTACATAGTTACATTGAGGTTTGTGTGTTGAGTATTTGACCCTACAACTGTACTACTGTAGAAAGAGTACCCCCCCCCCCCCCCCCCACACACACACTCAAATTTTGTAGATGACGCTTTATTTCTAGTGAATTCATCGACCTCTTCACCCAACACTTTGAAGTCGCATTTTGAAATGTTACCTTTCCTATGTCACTATGTGACTACGGGCTATCTCCTTGATTGTTTCACATATCAATCTTTTATCCTGCAGCATATTGCAAGTGTAGTTCCGGTCATTCCTAGTTCCTACTGTCAAGTGTCAAATAATGTAAAAAGTTGTGCAAATGTCTCCCTATAATTATGCAACATGTAAGAACTAAAACTAGCCACTCTCATTCATAATATAAAAAGAGTTTGCTAAATTAATCACAGCAAAGACTACTTTGGGCTTTGGCAACATGTCACACAATTGAGGAACGACATTAAGAAAAAATGAAAAAACAGATACCTATTGTAGAACATGGAATAAATGAGAGATCAAAAGTGCAATTTTCCATGCCACTACACAAGCTCATAATTTTACTCGGCGGATCGAAGATGTTGTGATTTGACCTTATTAAACAGGCTCAAATCCGCTGAACTAACCAAGGCAGTGAGATACAAAGTGCAGCAGATTGATGCCTAAAAAAGTTTTACCACAACAAAGTTACCTAGAGAAACCCCAAAACTATATGTTTGCTTCTACACCAGCAAAAGGTATGGGAAGCTTATCCCAGAGATTTAATACAAAACTCATCACCTTGGGGGACCTCTCCTGTCATAGGGTCCCCAAGCTCCTGTATGATATGGATCGCCTCCATACAAACTATCTGAATAACCCACGTCAACACTTCCATTCAACATTCCATATGGTCCAACACCTGAAAGTGGTACCAAAAGCGACAATTATACATCACATACATAATCAACATTTGAATGCATCAAGTTCAAATATTATTGAAATTTCAAAAATACACAAGTTCAAATCTTATTGGAATTTAATATGATAATTATAGTTTCACCAATTCCACGTGCTCTCCTATTTGCAGCCATCTGCTCTGCCCGGAGCCTTTCAATTTCACGAGCCACGGAGACAAGATTTTTCTTCATTGCTTTGTTTTCTTCAAAGATCTCCTTGTTTTCTTTCTTCTCATGCTCAAATTCTCTCCTATTATTATCAAATTTGAGTATGAGAAGATTTGCTCAAAACATACTTAATAGAAACTGAATTCTGCACAAAAAATGAAATTTATCTCTAGACTTGAACCTTGTTTCATCAAGCTCTCTGTGCATCCCATCAATTTCAGACTTCATGGCAGAGAGTTCCTTATTCTCATTTTGCAGTTTCTCAAGATCCTTTGTTAAACTTTGAACTTGGGTAGTTAACTCCTGTTGCAAAGCAGTAAGTTTTTGGAGTTCAGATCTGTAAGACCCAACTTCCTCTCGCAGAGGTTCGGCAGAGTGAAGCTCTCTCTCTAGTCTCAGTCCTCTTTCAATATACTCTCTTGCTTCTGCGTCATTGTCAGCATGCAGTTTAGAAATGGATTGGGTTATTCTTAGAATCTTATCTTTTGTGGCAGTCAACTCCCTTTCAAGCATCACATTCTCATCAAGTACATGCCGATTCTCAGCAACAATTCTTTGCATATCTCTGTGCTGGATTTCAAGTTCCTCTTCAAGGGCAGCAGGATGAGGATGAGGATGAGGGAGTTGGCGGGGTCCTCGTTGCATAACAGCCTGTGGTGGAGGTGGGCCATCACGGTATCCTCTATAGTTATCATGTTGGCGAGACGGCAGACGGTTTCTACTAGACATTGCTGCAACTCTGGAAAATGTGACAAATGAATCTGAAAGAACACATTTTTCTATCAGGTGACCATGCTTCGTGCTAAAACCAAACTAAGGCATAGATAAAAATGGTGGTTTGGAACTCGAGTTTGATGACTACAACAAACACAGTTACACTAGAGAAGGAACCCTAGACCAATTCTTCTAATGTCTATTGATTATTGAGACCAGTTAAGCATCAATTTACCCCCCCCCCCCCCCACAAAGCCCACTTACAAGTTTACAACACATCTTACACATATCACCCCATTTTCTTTTGGCATGCAAATTAAAGAAAATTTACTTTTGCGGTAGCACTAAGCACTTGAGGACTAACAAAAAGTATCAAAGCAGGACACGAGTTTGAATCCCATGAAAGGCAAAGAAGGAAGGCTAATGTTGAACTAGGATAGTTGGACTAAATAACAACATTTCTACTTGTTGATGTGGCGACAGCACTTGGGGCGGGGCAATGGCTGCAACTCTTAGATAAATCAAGACATTATACTGCTTGTTGAGACAACACTGGTAAAGTGGCATTGGATTCTATACCTTAAGAAATCAGGTGAAAATATTACTTGTTGTCACAGGAAAACTCAAAATGTGGCATTGGTTGCTACACTATAAGGAATAAAAGTGACACCTTCGTTAATAGCAGTTGCTATGGCTGAATGAAGCCATAAGCCTTTGAGGCAACACAAGTCATGAAATTGTGTAATTGAGATTCATTTAGAAATGAAATAAACAATACGTAGTATAAATAACATAATTCTATCTTTGAAAGGAAGAAAAGGCATTTATTTTGAAACAAACAAAAAAGGAAAGTAAGAGGTTTATTTTGGGACGGAGGAAGTATAAGATACTCAATCCATTAAATTGAGCATACTGAGCAGTGAGCGTAGCAGCTCCAAACTATGTGCTGCCAAGGAACTCCGGATACCTAAAACTCTCAACCTTAGAAAAGGTTGCATCTATGAATGGACTTATTTCTCTAAACAAAGACCAGATAGTCAGAAAATCAGGTCAGCAGCATAAGAAGAAAGAACAAAGTCTGGAAAAAGTTACAGTATTCCTGCGTATTGATCAAGTGCTTAGTAATTAGTATAAACCATGTTGTCAAACTCAAGATCCTATATAGGATTGGGTTGGAGTTGGAAGATAGTGACATGGAGGACAATCAGCTTAAGTTAAAAATTATGTCAAAAACTTGGAGGATTAAGTCAAACAGACTGTAATTAGTAAATTAGGTATAAAAAGATAACATAGATCAGCCAAATACTTCTAAATCGCAACATGAACATTAACTATAATGGAAACCTTATACTCAACTACTAAAGTAATAACTCATAATAGGATCCTATGTAGGAGTATTTTTATCTATCTACTTAAATAAATCATTTAATATCTATGTTCATTTCAACAAGTTTAATCTAAGCTAAAAATTATCAGAAAACCAGAACAGAAAAACTGAGAACAGTCTAGTTCAAATGTAAATATGAAAAATAAGAAAATAAAAATAAATGGGTAAAACAAAGAACCTGTTTCATTAGTCAACAACTCTACAACAGCGAATGGAAAATCTACAGAACCGAGAAGGTTAATGAGAAAACAAAGTCCAATAGAATAGTTCTGTTGAAATTTTAGGTGTTATTAATATTTTTAGGTTCTGACAAAGAATAACTACAAGAGGATAGGAAAGAGAATGTCATGCCTGCCTGCCATTAGGGCATTAGGCTGAAACGCGAATAGTTTGTGTTTTCTGTATTAATAATTTGATCTGTACGGGGCTCGAACACCTTTTGGGCTCGAACACGCTTATGTTTTGGGTGTTCGAAACTGAATTAAAATTAAAATAGAGTACTATTAAACTGAACACGATAGTACTCATATTAATTAATAACTCCATAAATGGAGTAGAATTTTCTTCAACAAATCCTTGATATCAACACAAAATAATTAAGCAAACAAACTGCCACATCAAAAAATAAACTAAGCAAAAAACCGCACTGCCACACCAATAAATTAAACAAAATGAGGCCAATAAATTACGACAAAACCATACTGCCGCATCAATACACTATCCATTGCCATTTGCCCATTGCTCCTCCAATTCATTTATGAAGAAAGAACAAAAATTGATGAGTGCAGACCTTCAGTTTGTATAGAATCCACCAAGGCACTAACAAACCAACAACATATCTCCTGAATCCCAGTATTTTTTCAATCTCGATTCTGAATTAATAACCATTTAATCGTAAGGCTAGCTATGAGAAATGAATCATTGATGCGAATTGCAGGTTAGGTATACAAAAATTAGGTTATGATCTGTGAAGGAGGAGGCTAACCAGTGAAGAGGAAGTGAAGGCGTAGAAGAGATATGGAATCTGGAGGCTGGTGCGCAGCGAGCAAGCGAGGTGGTAAGCTAATCGCTAGGACTCAGGAGACGAGTTAAGAGGTCCCAAATTGGCGAATTGGAGGCGACGGGAGACGCTGCAACAAAACCACCGTGGCGAATGGAACTGGCAAGGTGAAGGAGGAGGAGCGATCTGCGACTCTGCGAGAGGCTACTAGGTAGGGCAGTTGGCTTCAGTGGAGAGGAAAGTTTGGAGAACGTACGAGTTTCGCTGGTTTGCGGAACGCAGAATGGTTTCCGGAGAATGACGTCGTTTGTTTTATAAGGAGAAAAATGTGAATTGAGTACATCAACCACGTGAATTAAAGAGTTCACTAGGTTACATTTGACATTCATAAGTACATAAATTTAAGGGAAAAGGGGCAAATAAGCCCCCGAACTAACTTAAAAAGTGCAAATCACCCCTTATCTAGGAGTTTCTGTCCGGCGGTCATCATTTGGGGAGGTTCCCGGTGAAATTTTTTGATGACATTTTTTGAGCATCTTCTTCATTACGTCTAGTTTACTCATACCAAATTTCAGCTAAACATTCAATCGGGAAGACATTTAAATAAATTTTTGAAGATAACTGCGCAGTTAAATAGCGCAGTATATTTCAGAAAATCATTTGACTTTCTTCCCTATTGAATTTTTAGCTGAAATTTGGTATGGGTAAACTAGACTTAATGAAGAAGATGCTCAAAAAATTTCATCAAAAAATTCTACCGGGAACCACCCCAAATGGTGACCGCCGGACAAAGCCTCCTATATAAGGGGTGATTTGCACTTTTTAAGTTAGTTCGAGGGCTTATTTGCCTCTTTCCCCTAAATTTAATTATCTAGTGTTAATTGAGTACACTTGTTAGATTAACACATTAATATGATTTGGTTAGCTAACAGAATGCTGAGTAAAAAGGGGTAATAGATCAATGTTATGACGCCGACCTTCACGAAGTTGGCCGAAAAAGGAAAAATCGACTTTCGGAGGTCGCCTTGCGGGGGGAATCGGCTAGGAGGGGTGCATCGACCAAGGGGATTCAACCTGCGGGGACAAACGTCGACCAAGGGAAAGTCGATCAAGGGGTTGGGGGCTGACGTCAACCTTCAAGAAGTCAATTTATTAGCATTCTGTTAGCCAATTCAGACGTATTAATGTGTTAATCTAACAGGTGTACTCAACTATAATGGCGGAGCCACTATACTTCAAGAGTGCTTTATTGAACACCTAAAATATTGAAAACATATTAGTATACATGTGTAAATTTAATTTAATTATTTATTGTTCTTTCAAATTTTAATTATACCAAAAAAATGAACACCCAAAGTTTGAAACTTAAATCCGCCACTGCTCAACTAACACTAAAAACCCATGTTTGTGTACTTAAAAAGATCAAATTCAATTTAGTGTACTCTTTACTCCACCTCATACAAGTTGATGTACTCAATTGACCCTTACCTCGTTTTATAACTGATCAAACGACGGCGTTTTAGTAAAAAAATACTCCATCCGTCCCTGAAATTTCTCCTCAGTTACCTTTTTGGGTCGCCCCAAAAAATTCTTCTCGTTTCCCTTTCTGAAAAGGTTTGTGTGGCTATCATTCATTTACCTTTTCTTACTCAACCACAATCATATTTTCACTTTATTCACACCCTTAATCTCCGATCCAAGTTAAACCGGGAATAATTTTTTGGGACGGAGGGGGTACGGTGTCTGAACAACACCATGTACGGAGTAATACTTATGAGTCTTGCATAATTTGTAATCAATCGAATAACACACAAACCTAGACATTGATGATTGATAGGAGAAAAACGTATCACACGCTCATCTGAAACGGAAACAACTTTTGACTGAATAAAAACCAAACTGAGTCAAAACACTAGAAGGTAAAAATAATAAAAACGGAAGCATAGAAAAAATCTTTAATCGTTGTTGTTCAAAGAACATCATTATCGTCTAAATTTTTTTGTCAATCGGAGAAGAGAAGATTAGAAAATCAGATCATCCAAGAGCTCGTCGTCTAGGGTTTCCCTTAGTAGGATGTTGTCTTATCATGAGTTTTTTTACCTTATTGTCTTCTACGAATCTTCATCAAATGTAACAAAATTGCAAGAATAACTTTGAATGACATGAATTATGAAAATCATACAGAGTAATATACATCTTTTTCAATAATATAACACAAAACTAATTTAACATTACACATCAATCTAATTACGAATCATGTTGAGGGAATAACGGGTATTGAAAAAAATTGGTGTCCCTTCATACATAAATAACGGATGTGCACACCTAATGCATAGTTTGTTAGACATGTAATAAGATTAAACTATTATTATAAACTATAACATGGTGGTTTGGTTTCATGAAAACAATCTAATCTTACTATTACATATTGGTGTGGTAAAAAGTCTATTTTCTTCTTTGCCATATGCCATATGCAATGAGAATTTTCTTAAAAAACTTCAACATTTTATCAGATGAACATGAAGTGTAAATAACCCTAGTAAACTAATAAAAAATAAACAACTATTCAGTTACACATACCTACATATTATCTCTAAATCTTATAATGTTCAATGAAGGTTAGGACATTTTAGGTAGGAAAAAAATGTTGGTGTAATCATGGTGCTTGTTTGAGTTGTGCCCTATGATTCATGGTTTGTACTCTTTATGTTGTTGTCCGTCGTCTCCGTTTTGCCCCGTTGTTGTCCGTCGCTTTATCACTGCATCTTACTTCCATTCAGCCCCACCGTCAATTAGGCTGTTACCCACCGTTCCATTTGAGCAGGTCATCCCTTCTTACTTTCTCGTCGTGAGTAATTTCGCTCCGTAAAAACAAATCGTCCTTCTCTGTCTTCTCTTCTTCAGCCGGACGTCCGCTCCTATTCCAGTGCCACCAAGAAACCCTCCAATTCACCGCTCTATCCACCATATTTCTAAACCCTCCACACCAAGACAATGATTGTAGCTGGAATCGAAGAGATCCAGATGCTTCGTATGCCTCTCTCAGCCGTATTGCTCCAAGGATTTTGCTTCTCAGTGCGATAGAGGTAGCTATTGCAGGACGTGTACGAGTCTTACACTTCTAGCATTCAGCTTAATAGGTATCTTCCTGCAAAAGTGTTTGAAAATAGGGTAGGTGAAATTTCATCAACATTAGGAATGATAAAACTTGTTTTCTTTTTTGTTTTGATTTCATGTCGTTTTAGTCTAATAACATTGTGTGATTATAAATTGATTTCAGTTATAATATTCCTACCTTGGAATTGACATACAAACATTAATTTTATTTGGCATCATAATATTATATACCTTCTCCTGCCCTGTTGATCTTTGGGAAAATTTGACACTCCAAATTGGCTTCCTTTTTTGCACTAACGCCTTTGACAAATACTGCAGGTCAAAGTTCAGGAGGGTGGAAAGGATTGGAGTTGGGGTGTTGTTGTCAATGTTGTTAGGAGACCCCCTACATCATCAGGTTCTTTGCCTGCTGCACTTTCTGCTTCACGTGGTAGCACCTATATTGTGGATACATTACTTCATTGCTCTATTGGTTCCATGAAAGTGGTCCTCGCCCCAAACCATGCCTTCCTGGAGAAAAGGGTGAAATGCATGCGCTGAGCTATTATAACAAAAAGGATGCACTGTACATTATTTCAGTTTGAGTACAATTTGGTAACCATAACATTTCTTGCATTGTTATATCAATGTCCTGGTCTGACCCAATTTCAACTCTCAGGTTCCTGTCCAATTGCCATTGATATCTGCAATTAGCAAATTGAGAGCAACTATTCCTCCTGACCTTCGGCTGCTTGAAGCAAGGCAAAAATCCTGCTTGCATTAGGGGCCCTTGAAAAAAGTTTCCCTCAGCTTCCCAAAGCTTAACCCCGTGAAGGTAGGTTTGTTACTCATTATATAATTTGAACTGGCGAATCTGATCCTATACATTTGTGCTTCATGTGACGTCAAATGCTTTTTGCCTTTGCCCTTTACCTTGCATGGGGTATTCTTCAGTGTTTTATTCTTGACCCTTTGAGACTTCAATATTGGGTCAATGGAATGACCATAGGTTTATGCGCATAGAAAACACTGATCATCCTAATATTTAATCTCTTTTTTTCATAAGGATATGGAGATAGAAGATCCTGATTTTGTGAATATGATGGACCAAATAGAGGAACTAGAGAAAAAGTTGTTTGATCATCCTTTGCACAAGGTTCTTTGAAATAAGTAAATAATTTTAGATAAGTAACTAAATAATTATGGATATATTTGTGTATGCATGCATGTAAAGCCCCTTTTAAAGTAACTGTTTAACTTATTATCACTGTGGTCAGTTTTCACTGATGGATTAGTGCTTGGCAGTTACAAAATGAGCACCAGCTTAAGTCTTTCCATAGGAAGGCTGAGGTGAATCATGAAATTCAAAAACTTAAGTAAAAAATGCGTGATTCACAGGTGGGTATCTCATGTGGTTATTTTCCCTCTCCACATACCATGCTTTATATGTAAATCCACTTAAAGACCATGTAAATACTGTTCCATTTTAGACCGTTTGCTTGTTGAACTTCCTGGTTTGTGCTTCTTATACATTTTTATTATTATGGCAGATGCATGTTATTGTTGTTATTCGCAGTCCGCAGATAGTGCATATGCATTAATAAAAGATTATGATCTATTTAGTAATCAACTTCTACAATGTTCTCAGTTTTAAGATTTCATTAGGGAGAATTATAAGATTTCATTAAAATGTTCTAAAATGTTCTCGATTGTTCTATATGCATTACTCTACCAATTTGGTTTAGATACGGAAAGGTTTTAAACTATATTGTTAAAATCGGACAAGAAGATGGCTCAGAAAAGTGGCAGGGTTATGAAATTGCTCTGTTGGTTGAGGACATTCACTTTCTTTATCAATACCCACACAAAATAAAGAAAAAAATGTGTGTTTGCTCAACACATTTTTCAAATACCACATTTTAAAAACTAAAAGTAAATCTATTTCTCCTCTTAGAACCTCTTAGCAGTATTAAGTTGTTCAAACAATATATTAAATCCCTTTATTCTTTAGTCGCCTAAGCCCGGTAGAAGGTGAGATTAAGGATTTAATAAGTGCATTTGTGCATAATATGAAATTGAAGTTAGATTAAGTGGAGGTAGATTAAGTGCTATCTATGCATCATTTTTTAGAAATTGAAGTTGTTGATTAACAAGAATTAACACGTGTGTCTGCTACTGATTGAAGACATTAATTTCAGGTTG